ATTAATATTAAAATTATATATATCTACCTCCCATCTCCTAATTAAGCCTAAAGAACATAAAATAGCTAATATGTGCATGTACATGTTAATTATAGGGGAAAAGCAATAACAGAAATGTGATTCTGAAACCATAAGCTTGTGATGAGAAATATAATCCACCACATTCTACCCAAACCCTTCAAGATGCATTCATTGTGAGAATTTACCAAGCATCTACAATGTTTTTAGCATATTAAGCTTAGGGTCATAATTAGGTACAATTGAATTTTCAGGACAATGTCTAATTCAAAATGATATTAATTTGAATTTTTGAATTAGACCATGAACAACCATGAAAACAGAATATTAAGAAAAACTCGCAAAACCAAGACCTTATCTAATGTCAGAAACTGAGAGGAACTGATGCTAATAAAAGCTGGATTGAGAGCAATTTGGGGGCCCCAATTTTTACCACCTCTACTACTACCACCCTATTCTAATCTACCATGATCTGTTGTTTGGAACTTTGCAACAGACTCACTCCCAAGAGGTATCCCTGAGTCTATCCCTGGCTTTCCTCAACTCAGCAGCCAGAGTGTGATTCTTGTCAAATATAACTGATCAATCACATCACTGAATACTCAAACTCCCCACTGGTTTGCCATTTTTTCTGTAAAAGCCAAAGACATCACAACAGCCTGTAGGCCCTAAGTAATCTGCTCGCATGTGCTCTCTCAGACTACATCTCCTTCCACACCCACAGCTGGTTCACTCTGCTCCAGCCACACTGGCCTCACTGTCCCTCTCCAGGCATACCAGGCATGTATCAACTCAAGACCTCTGCACTTGTCAGATCTTTCTACCTGGAACGCAGTCCTTTCCTCACATTTCTACATGGCTCACTTTGTTACCTTTTTCAGGTCATTGCTTAAATGTCACCTTGCAAGATCTTCCCTGCTTTATTTTTCTCCGTAGAAATCATTACCATCCAATATAGTGTGTGTTTTCCATGCTTTGTTTATGCTGTCCCTTACCCCTCCTAATCCCACCAGAAAAAAGGACGGGCATGGCATTTCGTCCTTTTATTCCCCTAAAGTATCTCAAGTGCCTGACACATAGGAGAAGCTTAGTAAATACTTCTTGAATCGATTTACTTGGAATTCTAGTTTTTCAGATATCACACTGAGTTAGAAACCAACACATTAGGCTATGGCAGCAGGGAGTAAAAGAGCATAGCCTTCTCAATAAAGCAGAGCCTTCCAGGAACAGTAAATTCAAGCAAAATCCTGAAGAAAAGAACCAACGAAGGGATTCTATCTTTTTTTAAATATTTTTTTAATTGACACAATTATTGCACCTACTTATGGGGTATGGTGTAATATTTCTATACATGTGTATAATGATCAAATCAAGGTAATTAGAATATCCATCACTTCAAACATTTCTTTTTGTTGGGAACATTCTAAATCTGCTCTTCTAGCTATTTGAAAATATACAATAAATTGTTGTTAATTATAGTCACCCTATAGTGCTAGAGAACACTAGAACTTATTCCTCATATCTACCTATACTTTCACATATGTTAACCAATCTTTGGCTCTGTCTCTAGTAATCACTATTCTACTCTCTACTTATATGAGATCAACTTTTTTAGCTTCCACGTGAGTGAGAATATGCAATATTTGTCTTTCTCTGCCTGGCTTATTTCACTTAATGTCTTCCAAGTTCATCCATGTTGCTGCAAATGAAAGAATTTTGTTATTTTTTATGGCTAAGTAGTATTCCATTGTGTATATCTGCCACATTATCTATTCAGCTGTTGATGGACACTTAGATTCATTCCGTATCTTGGCTATTGTGAATAGTGCTGCAATAAACATGGGAATGCATATATCTCTGTCTGATATACTGATTTCCTTTCTTTTGGATATATACCCAGTAGTGGGATTGCTGGATCATATGGTAGTTCTATTTTTAGTTTTTTTGAGGAACCTCCATACTGTTTTCCATAATGTCTATACTAATTTCCATTCCTACCAACAGTGTAAGAGATCACCTTTCTCCACATCCTCACCAGCATTTGTTATTTTTTGTCTTTTAGATAATAGCCATTCTAACTGGTGTAAGATAATATCCCATTGTGATTTTATATTTTTCTATGAAAAAGGCTGTATACTAAATATTTTAGGCTTTGTGAGCCATATGGTCTCTTTCACAGCTACTCAATTCTGCTGTTGTAGCATGAAAGCAGCAACAGACAATATGTAAACAAATGAGCATGGTTATATTCCAATAAAACTTTGTTTACAAAAATACGAGATTTGATGTGTGGGCCATAATTTGCTAAATGCTGGTCTAGAACAATGGTTCACAACTTTGCTGCAAATTGGAATCACCCAAGGACGTTTAAAAAATATTAATGCCTTGCTTCTACCCCAAGCTGCAGGATTTTTAAAAGCTTCCTAGGTGATTAAAATATGTAGCAAAATTTGGGAACCATTGGTCTCGAACCTTGCTATAGTCCTAAGACAAGAAACATCC